ATACTCGTCCAAGGTTAATATGTGTAAAGTGGACTTCAGGATGTATGCAGGTGGGTACACAAGGATTCCCTATCGGCCCTTGACATTGACTTACAGTGCCAAGGTGTTAAGTAGAGCTTGTTTGAATTAGGTACGAAATTGAAACCGCCTTGACTGCTGATCGCGGGACTAGTTTCAAGCTAATATTTAGGAACCCATGCTTCGGTACTTTTTCTACGACAGTTGAGTCATATTTACTTGAGTATATAAAAGCTGATTTAATCAACTTTAGAAGAATCCCAATATTTCTATCCTAAAACTACCTAACCAACTATTATGTATTTGTTGTACACCAAGATCCGTGAACCTGGAATTATAACCCATCCAGGTAATCCGTAGAAACCCAGCGCTTTCTAAAGTTCCACAACGATCTGCGCAAAATTATCCTTCCTTCCTCTCCCAGCAACTCGGCTTACTTGCTTGCATATTTACTCGACGAGCGCCATTTCTGGCCGTACTGGTTTGATTTTCGAAAGTTAGCACAAAAAGAAAATCAAGAAACTCCAATGGTTTGCTAGGAAGAAGGAAAGGTGAACTGGGAAAACGTACCCGGTACAAGACAAAGAGGGGCGGGATCATGCCGAGACTAATGAAGCCCAGAATACTAGAAGCCCATCCGATGCCGAGCGATTGCAGCATGCGTCTGGCAGCGAGTGGCAACGCTCCGCCAAATGCGCTGCGGAAGAAAGCGTTGCCGGCAAAGACGCCAGCGACATGGCTTGGGTATGATTGGCCCATATAGTTGAGAACGGTCTGGAACGTGAGGTGGAATCCCGGGGCAAAGAAGGCGGTGCCGATGATAGGGAGGATCCAGTGGACACTGCTTGGGTGGTTAGTATTAACTCGGGCTTGAGCTAGTAGAGCGGAACTATTCAAACTTTAGAATGAAATCTCACATACTTTTCACGGGAGGTCCAGCCGAATATGAAGAGGCAGATAGGGATGCAAATTGCTCCCACTGCACCTGGCAGGATTTGCTCTTCGGGTTCGACGATTTCGTTGCTTGCCTCCTTTCGGGCTACATGGGGCTGGAAATAGTAATGGATCCAGAGCATGTAGGAGCTGACGGAGATGACTGCGCCGACGAATATGCCAAAGAAGGCAACTGTAGAGTTGATTGGGTCAGTCACAGAGTTGGAAGAAGAGGCAAGCTTGGAAAGAAGGACCTACAGCTTTGTTCCATTCCTGTGAAACCGTAGATTTCCCCGAAGACTAGACAAGGCAAGACAAAATCAGTGGACGTCTTTTCATCAATCAACCCCATACACCAATTCATTCACTTACCGTACGGGAAAAACTCATACCAGAGATATAAAATCCCGTATATGAACATAGTGTGGATATTGATGAATAGGATCACAGGGTCAATGAAGGAGAGTCGGAAGTCAACGGCGATCTGCTCGAGCATCGCCCGGAACAGGTTATTCTCGGTGGTTTCCGCCTCACTCGGGCTGCAATACCTATTATCCCCAGTTACCTGGCGCAGATGAGCGGCCCGACGATAGAGAATGTTGTCGGCCAGAGTTTCTGGGAGCAGGAAGAACATAAACACTGTCGACATGGCGGCGATTCCAGCGATCAACCAGAGTGCTGCAGACCACGAACCCCAGCGGTCGCTAATAGGTCTAATTAGCAATCTGGGCGAGAGAGAACAAATAAAAAAGGCACAGAAAAGACTTACACCACGGCGGTGCCCAGTAACTAAAGAGATAAAAAGTTTCAAGGTCAGGACCGTCCGATCATACTAGTCGTAGGTAAGGAGCAGACAACTTACAGGGCCGAAAGCTGGGCCACACACTCCGCTCAGGACATACACTGCCAACGCGTAGGGTAATTCACGGGGTCCAAACACCTCAGCAATGGTAGTGCCACCGATACAGGTGGGAGAGGCCCCGACTAGGCCACCTAGAACACGGAGAATGATAACGGTCTCTATGTTCTTCGCCAACGCAGCTCCGATGCTGAATAGACAGAAGGCCAGTGAGCCGAGCACGTAGACCGGGGTGCGACCGATGGCCGGCAAATTGGAAATGGGCGACAACTGAATATGAAGGACTAGTTGTTAGTGATTCCAGACTAGGGTCAATAGGTCCGTCGGGCTAGCTTACAATCAGCGGGCCTACACCATACGCAATGACAAACAACGAGAGACCAAGCATGGCCACCTCGTAGGAGGCACCCAAGGATTCTTGGATCGGAGTCATGCTGGCTGAGTAGATTCCTGGCGCCGTGTAAAAGCTGAGGTTGACTATCAGCACATTGCACAGGACCAGCAGCTTGAGCCATGATGGCCAGTTCCTGGGATTGTCCTGGTCCGTAGGACCGGTCCAGTCCACCAGATAGACTGCTTCGGGCACAAGGTCATTCTTGGACGGATGGATGTCGGTATCTGCGGTCGCACGATGAGGGTTGAGGCCACTTGGCTTGGTGAACAGGCTTAGCGTCCGACCAAAGGCCGTATCGCGAATGAGAATGGCCATGAGACGTAACAATTCCGTGCGCGTTTACTACTACAGGGTAACGGGCGATATTTAGGTGTTATCTACTCCGTACATTTACTCCTTATTGCTCCTTTAGACTTGTGGAGTACGGAGTAATAGGAGACCCATTTTATTTCTTTGTTTCTAATTGGGGTCTAGCGGACCGGAGTACAGAGCATTTAGGGCAAAAAGGACAAAAAGGAGCTGAGAGTCATGTTTGCGGATTTACTCGGATTTTAATGCAAAAGTCCGAAATGAAAAAAAATCAATTGGCTACATCGTCATGATCCGTTGCCATGACAACATCCTGCCACTGATCCAATCCCTCCTGGTTGCGAGCCAATGCGGCCCGTATCGCTGTAACGGCATCCCGGCCCAGTGCCAGTCGTGGAGGCAATTTACGGCCCTCGCAGCGGCCCGTCTTGGTCAAAGCTTCGACGATCACTCGGGCGCCCTTAGCCGGATCTCCGGGCTGGTGGTGGTTGTACGCCGCCAGCCCCGCCCGCGTAGACTCGGTGGCGATGTCCAACTCGGGCAAGCGGTTCTGCGCCACGACTTTGTGCCCACCGCTGAGGAAGTTGGTGCGGAAATATCCTGGCTCAATGCAGGTGGCCTCGATGCCGAACGGGGCCAGCTCCCCGCACAGAGCTTCGGTGTAGATCGCGACAGCTGCCTTGGTGGCACAGTACAGTCCAGCAGCGGGGGTCCCAGACCATCCGCCGATGGAGCCTAGATTCGCAACCACCCCTGACTTCTGCTTGCGCATACTGGGGAGGACGGCACGAAGCACTCGCATTTGGCCAAACACGTTGGTTGCAAACACTGCTTCAGCCTCGGGTCCCCTGTACCAAGGAAAAATGTTAGTGGCAACACACGGATGGCGGGCTAGGGGAGGAGTCGGGACGAGTGAATATGATACTCACGAGCATTCCTCAACGGCACCCTCGAGGATATATCCGGCATTGTTGACCAGGACGTCGATGCGCCCAACTTTCTCCAGGATGGAAGCCACCTGCGCCTGTACGGTATCATCGCTGCCATTGACATCCAGCTGGTGGAGCACAATTTGGCCGGGTCTTTGTTCCTCAAGGTCCTTGAGCTTGTCTGCGTATCTGGATGTGGCTACCACTGTATCGCCGATGTCCGCGGCGGCGAGGGCAATTTCGCGACCGAAGCCGGATGAGGAACCTGTGATGAGCCAGACGCGCGGCATGTCTGCGAAATATGGCTGAGAGAGTGGGAGTGTGTTTAATTGGAAACCCTGAAAGCTCTATCACAGTTGAAATGTGAGAAGAACAGGCTGAAATACCGAGGAGAAGAGGGGTGTAGGCGTGTGTATGAAGCTGCAAGTAGAAAATGAAGATCATCACATTTTAATATTTTTTTTCTTTTCTTTGTCTCCAATTAGTTTCCACCAGGGGTTTGTCCGAGGATGGCCGGGGGAGGGGTTTTTACGCAGGTCCTTTGTATATGTATTGGGCGTTTCAATTGGCTATTTGACACAAGACCTTATAGGGCTTTGAGAGGTAAACAACACTATCAGTTAACTCTTGGGGTTTTTTTCATTTCAATTTTCATATTCACATCGGGACAAAGAGTCCAATATGCGTCTATTGGCTATTCTTTTAGCTACCCAGGCGCTCCAGCCTGTCATGGCCTGGACAGACCTCCAGTCTGTTCTTTCTCAACCGGCCTGCCATGACTCTAACATCACGGTGCACGTCTCTAAGACCACCAATAGATCGTTTGTCAACCAAGTCTATGACCTAGATATCCTCTATGCGCTTGCCGGCAAGCAGATTTTGGTCTCCAATTCCTACAGTATTTCGTCCCGACTATGCGAACCTTCCCAGACCAACACCCACTCGGATACTCTCCAGGTCATGATCCATGGGGCGTCGTTCAATAAGAACATGTGGGATTCTCAATACCAACCGGAGACTTACAGCTGGGTTCAACGCATGAATAAGGAGGGCTATTACACCCTCGCCGTGGATCTGATCGGTAATCCTCTCCTCTGGATAACCCGATTGACTGAACGTTGTATTAATCTAAAGGACAGGAAACGGAAACAGTACATTCCCCGATGGCCTCCTGGAGGCCCAGACTCAAACTTATGTTGAGACAACCCACCAGCTGATCCAGCAGATCCGCAATGGCACCGTCGGCGGCCGCCGATGGCGCAAGGTTGTCATTGTCGGTTTTTCCATCGGGGCCATCGTCGCCAACTCGCTCGCCCAGCAATATCCAGAAGATATGGATGCAATTGTACTGCACGGCATCTCTTGGGATTCCAGCTGGATCTATCCCGCCTTTCTCGCTGGACTCCAGGCACCCGCCCCGCAGATTGACCCAGCTCGTTGGGGCCAAATTCCGGCGACCTATCAAACCCAGTCGACTCGGGAAGGTCGAAAAGTGGCATGCTTCGCGGGATCATACGATGAAAACATTCTGGAATACGACTGGTGAGTGAATTCTGTTTTTACTCTACGGATCTGCCAACTGACTGCCAAATTTCGACAGGAATACCCGCGATTTCGACTCTATGGGGGCCGCTGTGACCTTTGTTTATCACCTGGTGGAAGCGCCGAAGTACACTGGTCCAGTATTCTTAGGTATCGGTGACCGTAAGTTTCCCTTTCAGGATTCATTATCTGCTCCCACTTCTATGCGAACAGATCATAGCTAATTTTACATGCTCCTAGGGGACGCAACCTTTTGTGGCGGTCAACGTTGCGGCAGTCAGCCATATGCGTTGTATGACAAGTTTCCCAGCGCCATTGATCATGACATCAACTTGTATCCCGAAACCGGACACTTGATTCTCTTCCATCGAGCTGCGCCAACCTTGATGGCTGACTCGCTTGCTTTCTTGAGGAAGCATAATTTGTGAGCTGGAAATATTACATGACCAATAGGGATATCGTCCGCCACTACTTGTTTTCGATGAGTCTCTAGTGATCAGTCGCAGAAAGTTTATATTCCGGAGCAGGAGCAACTTTGAAACTATTGTGAGTGTTGTATGCATCTACTCTACGATGGGGGTCGATCATTCTAGACTAGGTAGTTGGCGTAATAGAGGATAGACGATGTTCTGCTCGAATTTAGACACGTAACCTTTGAGTCGCTTTCATAACATTCTGGGTCCTATTCCAAGTGTGCATTGGGTTCCAAGACGTTAATTTCATATCCTTTAGAGGTGAACCTTGGAATTGGGCAATTTCAAGGCTTATGCAGCAACTCGCCAAGGGTCAATTTATACAGTCAACCTTGGAGTCTCTATAGAGCTCTACAGTGATTTCTTGATCAACGATGAAAGCAGTTTCAGAACATCGAGGGTACATTGAAATCTATTTTCATGACTCAGACGGGTCGAATACCTCTGGAGCCTGACACTGATCCTTTGGCAACAGACGCGCCTCGTGTACCTTATAACTCTGCCCTTCGACCCCCTTCCGCCTCAAGTTTCGACTCTGCTACAACAACATGATTTGGGATCTCGCTATTTTTGAAATAAAAATCAGACACAACAGTGCCTGCCGCCCACCAAGCGGTCATTTTACCCCGAGTACCTGCGCTGAAGAAGTTGTCTCCTGCCTTCACACGCAGACACCTTCCATCCGACATGCGGAGATCTCCTACAGTACCAGAACCAGTAAGCAAAACGTCCTCGATCAATAGAAAATAACAAATGAACAACTTGAGAATGAAAGCTGTGCTCTTTTTGTGTGAATTGAAACAAAACAAAACTTACCAATACCACTGCTCATGACAATCAAACTGGGCACTGGGGTACTATGAGCCTTCATGAATGACTCGCCAGAGAATATATACTGGTAGCCAATATCGAACCCGCCCTCCCAGTCCAGTCGATAGGCATTATCGATGCCAGGGAGAGCAGTCGAAACGGTGTCCACTTGCCAGCATTCGAGGACGTTCTCCCAATACCCGGTCGCATTTCGGATCTCAGAAATGGCGGGCAGGATGATTTTGGACGGGTCGGTACTCTGAGGGCAACGAATCTGACAGTCTTGGTCTGCAAGGCCAGCATGCGTGTCTGACTTGTCAAACCTGAGTTGCTGCGCACTAACAGTGCTCAAGATGAGAAGAGAAAGGAATGGAGCTTTCATGGTGGAGCAATGACATGTAACTGAGGGATTTTTGATCAGCTCGAGCTATACGGAGCAATTGGAGTATTTGGCCCCCGAATGGCAATGGGCTTTTGTTATGTGACGATTGGTGCTGGACCTCTCTCGATTTACGCAGGTCCCTGGAGACCACCCCGGTCCTCTATTGCATGCCCCGACACCGGTGGGCAATCCTCATTCGATGGCTACATAAACTTCACAGGGATCCCTATTTCGTTTCACAGGGATTCTTATTTTGGTCTGCAGATCTGCTCCAGTTCCGTCATGAAGTGCGTTCGCGTATTGACTGCTTTGTTCTCCTTGCTTGGGGGCTCAAATGCACTCACCACTTCACAATGTGTTCGTATATCATTTGTTTTTCCCTTTCAAGTGGCACGATACAGTGCTCAAGTGGATAGGAGGTATTCATTTCTCACCATTTCTTGCACATAGTGTGACCTACTCAACCCAAAATACTCGTCGGCTGTCCATCTTCAGAACACTTCCGTCTATACTTTCGAGAACCACAATTTCTGGTGCAAGTCGACCTTGTCATGAAACTCCCTTGAGCAACTAGCTAACTCTCTCTAATAGCGGCCACTGAGAACCTAAACCCAGGATGTGTTTTCCTGCCTGACACATCGGAGAAGGTCTCCGAGGCCATTTCCATCTTCGCCAAAAATGACTGCAAGTTTGCGATTAAGGGTGGCGGCCACAGCGCCATTCCTGGGGCTGCCAGCATTCACGATGGTGTGCTCATGCCGATGGAGTACATAAATACCACCGAGGTCCAGCTGCAAGAGGGATACATCCGGGTTGGGGCCGGAGCGACGTTAGGCTCGGTTTACGAGGCCCTGGACCCTTACAATCTGTCCGCTGTCATCGGCCGCTATAAGAAAGTAGGACTGGGGCTCGCGGTTGGGGCGGGCTTCTCCTACTTCTCCAACAGCGAAGGTCTTACCATTGACAATGTCGTCAACTACGAAGTGGTCTTGGCCAATGGGACCATTGTCAATGCTAATGCCAGCAGTCATAACGACTTATTCTGGGCCCTCAAGGGAGGAAACAACAACTTCGGCGTGGTCACTCACTTTGATCTCGCTACCGTCGCCACCGATGGTCGCGTGTTGGGTGGTATCGTCTACTACCCGGAATCCTCACTCGATGAACTCGCGGACGTGATTTATGATTATCATGTGAATCAGGCTGTCAACGATATCCATACCCATACGTTGCCTCAGTACGGATACAACGGTACTACCAACGAGACCATCAACTTCACTCCTGTGGTCTATAACGCCGATCTCCAAGAATTGCCCGACATCATGCAACCCTGGAACAATACCCCTCACTACAAGAGCACAGTCCACAATCGGAATTACACTTCGCTTGCAGCTGAGCTGAATGACGGATTCCCAGATGGCAAGTTGTAAGTATTCTCACTGGTCACCATAGTCGACATCCAAAGGAGACACGCAGAGAAAGAAAGCTAAAACAGATCTCACGTTTAGCCAAGCTCAGCGGATCATGACTGTCTATGCAGACGCCCAATTGTACAAGGATATCTGGTGGGAGTTCCGCAAATGGATGAAGAATTATCAGGATGTCGAGGGCTTTTACGGCTTACATTGTAACATGCCAATTACCCCTAGACAAGTCACTCAGGGCATACTCAAAGGGACGAACGCGCTAGGATTGGAAGATGCTGGAAACCGCACGCTGGGCAGTGAGTACTTGGACAATCCTCAAACGATCTCACATGAATGTCGACTAACATACTTTGATCCAGTCCTCTACTTTGGAGTCACCTTCGACAACAAAGCGGATTCCGATCGAGTGTTGCCAGATCACGACGAATTCGTTCAGAAGATGCAGAAATTGGCCGCCAGTCGTGATCTTCTTCATCCTTACCTGTTCGTCATTCCTGCCTTTTCGTGCCTACTTTACCCTTCCTGTTGTCTCAACTGTGGCTAATGTGCGAATCTGCTCTAGTATGCTTACATACTCTGGCTGGAACCAGCCAGTCTTGACAAGCTACGGCGAGAAAAACCTTGCTAAACTCCGCGCTGTTCAGGCGATCTACGACCCGACACATGTCTTCCAACGTCTGGTTCCTGGTGGCCAGAAACTACCTGACGCTAAACAAGCATAGAGATCAAGAATGAGGGGCTAATGTGCCTGGATTTAGTTCGATCATGGCGAGGATGGAACTGAGGACACATATCATAGAGGCCTCTGCACAATCAGGTTTAACCGAAAGGGTCGAGCTGTGGCATTTGGTGGGTGATTAAGACTGCCGGTTGTGCCGCACCCGATCCATGCATGTACATAAATTCATGAGACTTAAGAATTCTTAGCTTTGGTCTCGGGAGCAAAACTCACTTGGGCAGACATGTTGGAAACCCATTCTTAGATGGACTGTATTCATCTCAATGTATGGCCGTTTGAGGAAAGTCAAGTCATTTGTCTTCTCTAAAAATTTAAGCTGTGTTTTGGGAGTGAAAGATCTTGGTAAGAAGGTACAGGGATGGGTGGTAAACTTCAGTGCTTCACTTGAGCTCCAATACACTTAGTGAACAGTATATAATGACCACATAAGTCTCTCTCCATCAAATACAATCTCCGGAATCCGACAGCTGCTTCAAAGGTGCAGCTATTCAGAAGCCTTCGTTCCTTCAGTCAAAAAGGTATTGACACCGATCAATCCCAAGAGACTCAGCCAGGAACTCATTGATGAATTGACAATTGGGGTCCATCTTCTTCTGTAAATCAACCCAATCATTCATCTTCGGGTAGATGGTGGAGCTGTAAGTCTCATTGTGGAAGATCATCTTGTTCCAGTGAGGTCGAACATTATAGGTTTCACCGAACTTGGGAATGTACTCGCTGGCAAGCTCTTGGAAGAAATACTGAGTGGTGAAGTTGTTATAGGTGGGGATCCAGGAGTATTCCAATGTGGCGAAGATTCCACTGGCATTGGGCTGCAAGTTGTATTTGGCGCCACAAATGGGACATTCCAGGCCACTTATACGATATCTTTATATAGTAAATAATAACCCCGAAGCTAGTCTATTAAGAGGCGTCGATGTCGACGTATACTTAGCGATCGAAGGCCTAATAGACTAGGACTATAGCATTCCTATAGAAGGAGTCCTATAAAGTATTAAAAGCGTTGATTTCGGCGTCCGTCGGCATTTGTTAGGGAACAAACTGGATTGCAACAATCTACAGTGCTTCCTATATACAAGAAGGTTTCGTTAAGAAATAGGAAGAAAAAAGGGGTAAACATAGGTGTGAGTATGTTCGTACGAGGCGGTGAGAAGTCACGAGACTCGTTAGTCGAGTACCCAGATTAGGGTTCTCTAGGAGAACCCTATAACAATAGCCCCCCCCCTTCGTTCTTCGTAGTGCTACTCACGTTGCCGTACGGAGGGCGTCCCTATCGAGGGAGCCGTCTTCGCGTCGGTATGGATCTATCTTCTTTAACTAATGGTCTAAGGCTTCGGTTTCTTTAAGGGCCTCGCCGGGCTCGATGGTGGGACGATTGTACCTAGTCTATTTGACCTTATACTTCGTACGAACGGTGCCGCGATAACGTCTTTTATACTCGTCGAGGATACGTTCGACACGCTATTCCTCTTCGCCGTCGTCGTTAAGAATCGTAGGGGGTTATAGTTCGTGGGTCACTTACGACGGAAATAGGTCTCGAGCGGCTAGTCGTACGAGATTTATATAGAATACTAGATAGATTCCTAGTGGCGTATTC